AAGATATCATCATACTGGTATAAATACTGTCTATTCAATTTTTAGTTGAGATATGTATATTATTATAAATCATAATAACAAATCATACTTAATTCGACATATTGTGTAGGGTAATATATTTTTTTGTATTTTTACTGTAGACTGTAATAGGTTTTGAACTATCTACATGGTACACATGTAACATGTTCATATAATATAAGTTATAACAGAAGCAAATACTTTTTGGGGTGTCAATGTAAAAACAGTTTTAAATGTAATACCAAAGAAGAAAGCATTTTTTTTTTTTTATTTATTAGTAGATCTCGATTCTCGATGTATTCCACAATATTTTAGAATAATCTTTTTTTTTAAAACTATAGTTATCCATTATAGTTATAAGTTATCCATTTCTGTGAATGCACAAGTCGATTTTTGAAAATGTTCAATGCCTGGTGCTAGGTATCAGGTGGAATATTATTGATTTTTTCAGCGAACCCTATGTCGAGATCGGAAATGGTTGTGGGGGCGAGTGTGGCGTACGACATTTTTCAGATGTCACCATAAAAAAATCACAGAAGGATTGGTCTGGGGATCGGGGTGGGGCCAATCAATGTCAGCATTTCTGGTTATAGCGTGGTTACTGAGAACATCCCTCTCACTGCTGCCATCGACACTCAGTCAGTGTGCGAGTTGGGCCCCGTCCTGTTGAAACCAGGTGTTTTCAAAGTCAATACTCTGGAAAAATTGAAGTTTTTCACCCGAAAACGTTTCAAGCATCGTGACATAACGTCGTCGGGAGGTCTCTGTGATAACAGTACCAAATTCAAACTTATAGCGATTGGAAACCGTTCATCATACAATGATAATGGAACAATATGTATCTACTAGGATTTTATTGTGCCCAAAAGCTAAAGTTTCGTCTTTTAACATATTTATATTTTTAGGTTAAAATGGACTTTGTCCGAAAGCCAAAGATTCTAGATCTAGATGAATTCTGCTTCCTCGTTAATTTTAGCCACTTGTCGATTACAGAATTAGAACAATTTCACTCGGTATAAGTTATTAATGACTAAATGATTTCCGCACCCATCTTCAAGTTAAAATAGATACACTTCAAACTTTTTACTGCCCAACAGTTTGACCAATATCAGATCCTATTTCTTATAACCACCCTGTATACGTAAAATATGTGTACACCAAAAGTATTGAATTCATATACACATTTTCAAACGTATATGAAAATTTCCAAAATATTCTATGTGCATACATAATTTTTAAACGTATTCAAATTATTGATAAATATTCAGCTCAGTATGAACTAAAATAATTACTTGATTATTTATGTTAATTTTTTTTTAACATTTCGACGCGAATTGTCTTGATAACATCACTAAGCTCGTTTAATATTAAATGCCCACATTAAAGTACTGACATACTTACATAATATTAATATAATTACACCTGAGCATATAAATTTCCCAAAAATTGCTGAGTACAAAAATTCGAAAATTCTCCTTTCTTCGTGTTTGTCGAATCAGCTGAGTATGATTAATGGGATAGTCCACGTCATTTAATATCTCTCCTTTATTTTCACAGAATTTATAATATATATATATATAAATATTTTATGCTTGATGCCTATTGAAATTATTTTAAAACGTTAACTATGTTTTAACGCCCTTATCCCTTCGTCCCTTTCTGGATCGTTCCCTTTTCCCAACCTGTACCTGACTCATTAAACACTCCACACTGTCTGCCGGGTGATTTATGTATATTCCGGATTTTTATGTTTGTCCAAAATGTATTACAATATAATGAGTATAAAAAAAAAAAAATGAAAAGATATTATCATTGTTTAGTACAGTTTTTGAGGTAACTTGATTTGTAACACACTAGATGGATGAAGATAAGATAAAAAAAAATTATTTAAAGTGAATCTGTTTTTTAAATACTAAACACTTGGGATTCAGCATTAAAATTGTGACGATAAAATAAATATAATATAATGGATTATAATAGCGTTATAAATAAAGTCCATAAATACAAATCTGTCAACACTCATAGTCAGACATGAATGTTGAACGTTTAAAGTCTTTCCAATTAATTTAAGTTGATAATAGACTGGTAGCAATTTACAATGTTTCATTTCTAAATAATTAATAAAAACGGTTGAAGTGATTTATTGGATTTCACATTTTTCTATTATTGTCTTTATTCAAAACTTTATGAAAATGAATTCAATATTTTATGTATAATACTGCAGAGAGCTATCGCCGCTTTTATAACTCGACACTTTAAAATGTTCGAAAAATGACTACCGAACCATATTTAAACGATAAATCATTAACGAAACAATTAATTACGAGTTGAATGGAATAAATATGGAATAACCGAAGAAACGAAATTGGATATCGTTAAAGTCGTTATATACTGTGCGAATTCAGAGACAGAGAACTGCGAGAAAGCAATATTGGTCATATATTATTATACCGATCGGGATGATGGTATACCCGTGTGGACCAACAGTTGTTACTCAATATTGTCTAAGGCATCTTCGATTGATTTTTACAACGGAATGTCCACCAACCATTAGCGCTCCGAAGAAATGTCCACCCAAAAAGTTTTCAGCGTGAGTTTGAAAGTTTTTTTTGAAACGAGTGCTCGCCGCCTGGTGATAAAATATATATTAATTTGAATACACATAATATTATAGTTATATACCACAGTATTATAATTTACATCTATCCATAACCCCTTAAAAGCAAAATATGATTTTTCTTATTCGTCGCCATTGTACCTTACGGTGACTTAACAATATTCATAAACGATTTTCTCGAGATCAAATTTACCTACGAAATAGTACCGTTATACTTAACAGTTCTCTCTAAATAATTGTTTAGAATATAATAATAGAAACATTTTTTGGGATTTTATTTAATATTATATTATGTTATAAAATTCTTAACGTGTTTGGAAAGAGTAGGTAGGTATAATATACTAATATACCATATTATTATACTTTACTTCATAATTGTTGTTGATTTATTTATAAGCTACGCCTATATACTTAATAAAAAAAGATTTAACTTCAAAATAAACCAAACATGGCCCCAATACATCATATTTTAATGTTATATATTTTCATATTCTCTGATTTTATTTACACGAGTAAAAAAATAGTCATTGTAAATTGCAAAGGTATTGAAAAATTTTAATAAACCAACTACCCACCAAGTACCTATTCAGTTTATAATAATTTATAACAATAGCAAACTTTGAATTTTCTATTAAATACACCTTAATATACTTTTTTAAATTATTGTGTTATTTACACAAATATAAACACGATTAAAACTTTTAGTCTTAACAAATTAAAATTGTTCACAAATTGTTAAAGTACATATTGAGAATTAAATTAAATATTTGATTTGAAAGTATAATTAAAGTCCGTAATAAACGAATCTATCATGGGCTATGAATAAAGTGGTTCACATTGGTGTCAAGACTTTTAATATAGTTTATTGTTTTAATAGTAAAACATTGTCTAAATTAACAAAACAATATTTTTCAATAGTTTATTTAAAAAAAATAATAAAACAATCCAACGATATAGAGAAGTCGAAACTTTTTCAAATAACTATAGAACAGCGGCTATGGTACAACTTTCTACAAATAATATTATGTAATTAAATATCTTTATGGTTTTTGAAATGTATATTATTCTCAACAACGTTATTTTTTTCAATTAAAATACCTCGTGATTAATAATTTCTGTTCGACGGGCGACGGAGAAAAATGTTTTGTGATGTCTGAGATAAAAAAAAAAAAAATATAGAAAAAAAGAAATGGGTTTTCTATCTGCGGCTAAAGCTAAACCCGACAATTTCGCTGTCTACGTGACCTGGATAAGATGTTGCATTGTGCTGGCTTGCGTATTATTGTAGTACATGTATTATGTATATACGTAAATATATATATTTTTTTCGTATTTTATAATATATATATATATATAAATTTGGTTCTCCTTCCTTCGGAGAAAGAACGGCAGGAGACATGAAATAATCAGACCCTGGAAAAGTTCCATAAATCAACGCCAACTGGCCCCGGTAGTTGTCATCAATTACTCAACATAGAGGAAACAGCACTGTAACACTTTTTTATCATTAACAGTAAAGCGAAAAAATACGCGTAACTGAAATACACACACACACACACACACACACATATATATATATATATTAAACGAATATCCGTTGGACGAATAACCCCGTCCCCTGCGCTCTCTTGTTGCTTCTTTTAGAGTTGATAATAATTACTATGATGATATGGGGACGAAATAATGTAGAAAATTAAAATAATAACAATAATAATTTTCCACGTTTAATCTACTTAAATTCATATTTACACGTCAGGTCTATAATTATAATTAATAATAATGTAGTCGTACAAAATGTCAGTTACAATAATACATCATAAAATTATAATATTAAAACAATGTAGTTTAATAGTAATCAAATACATTAAAATAGTGTTAAGTATTGAACTCAGCAGCGTAGCATTAATATTCGATATACGATATATTAATAAGAACAACAACATATTATTATTATTATTTACAATTACAGAAAATGACACTAAAGGTATATCAGTTTATTATTACATTCTTGTTTTTCACAATAACCTATATGATTACACAGCAACATAAATCAATACAAGATACAAATACAATTAATTTAGACATTTTTGACATTTTATCAAACGATATTCAATCAATAGGACGTATATGTATTAAAATATGTTATAACGTACATTGAAATTATTATTTCTATTTATAGCAATAGCAATATTGCGTTTTATTAGTGTTAAAGTTAATGAATTAATGGCTAATTTTTAAATAATACATTTTTGCTACGCTGCGCCATTTCGGCTTTGGTCTCAAACTTTGAAAACATAAAAAAAAACAAAAATAATAATACAAGTTTAAATTTAGACTTATAAACAGTTTATTCTTCAGACTTATTTCACCACCTTTCTACGTGGTTTAAACTTTCCAGGCTCTTAATTTCGATACTTTGGTAATCCACGTCCGCTGTATTTTGCCTCCAATGTAACCTCTTTAGTGCGTCACCCCTCATTCCAACCCAGACAGTACCACACGCTAAAAGTATTAACAACAACACAATACACACAAAAACTATCATACCTGGATGAGTCGTTTTTGCTTCAACGTGTATATTCTTCGGATCATCTTTCGCTCTTAGCCGTGCAAATACCGCTGTCTGTTCTGTTGTAGTCGTAGTGACTCGATATTTCGGAGTCGTAGTAATCGTGGCACAGTAATCTGCATCGAACACCTGTTGAACACTGCCATTATTTTGTCTACATTGCACACTCTCCACAGTGGACTTGAGTTTTTGCGGCTGGTAGTTCCTGAGTCTCAGTTCAGTTTTACTCAACTTGGAATGGTGATCGTCGGATGCGTGGATCTCACACAGCCAGTCTCTGAGCCACGATTCGACGCACTTGAGTTCGTTCAATATTAATGTTTTCATTTTGGGCATATGATAAGGTAAACGGTTGGGAAGTGAAATCACATCGCATTCCGTTAAGTCTAAATATTCGAGTTGAAACAAAGATGACAGTACAGCACTGTCGTTTAACAGGATTGCAGCAAGATGTTTGCTGTACGCCAGTTGGATTCGGTTCAAGTAACGTGTATCAGTGAATGGGAACGTTGGTGTTTCCGGTGCCGTTAGCCCCTCCAGCTTCAAGACTTTTAACCTTACTGGACCTGTTAACATTTCTCTAGTAATCATTTTAATTGGATTTTCGGATAAATCTAAAACATCAAGAAATAATAACGACGCAAATGTAAGTTCCTGTATGTGTCGGATATTATTTCTCCGAACATTTAATAGTTTCAGTCGTTTGCAACCCTCAAAGTCTTCGACACTCAAGTTCTGTATTCTATTACCTTCTAGATTCAATTTTTCTAAACTTCCTGGGAGACTTTTTGGTACCGTTTCCAATAAGTTATTACTCAAGTCCAGTACGATCAGTAAATCGAGCCGACCGAATGCGTCGTCTTCGACCATGGTAATGCTATTAGCACTAATGTTAAGCAAATGAAGAAGAGGAAAACCGTCTAGGTCGCCACTGTTCACTGCTTTTATCGCATTGCCGCTCAATTTGAGTGAGCCTAACAGCGGAGCTGGCGTCACTGGAACTTCTGTAAGATTAGTATGCGAAGCATCCAATGCTTGAAGTCTTGGACCGGAACCCAAAACAACAGGTGCTAATTCTGCGTTTTTGGCAATGTTCAATTCAACTAGATTCTCAAATGGCTGAAATACTGTAGTACGATCGAGATCATAGTTTTCGGAAACGTCGAGATACCGTAATGTACTACTTGGTAGCGTTTTTTCTGATATCCTCGTTAACGCGTTACCTCGTAAGTCTAACCATTGCAGATCCGGCATTCCAACAAACGTATTATTTTCAATCCACAAGATAAAATTATTCCCAAGATCCAAAACTTCCAAAGAAGACGCATTTACCATGTCGGTTTTATTCAACGACTTAATGTAATTCCAACTCAACGTTAGATTTCTAATGTCTGAACACATTGAGAAATTGTGTACCTTATTGAACGATAGTATCATGGAATCAACTCTTACCATATTACTAATGGCAACGTGGCAAGGATTTAGGATGTTATTTCTGGACAAGTCAACCGTTGGTAACGTCGTGTTTTTATCACTAGCGATATAAATCCCATTCAAATTATTTTGCGATATATCCAGTTTGGTCATACCGTTAGTGTGAGTCAAGTCGACTTTGTACGGTATGGCGTCACAGTAAACATCGCGCGAGCCGTTTGTAGGAAACTCCAAAACGCATTCTTTTTGGACTTCTGCAACGACGACTGACAGCAAAGAAACTACGATAGCGTTTATAATCACTACCATTATTCGTCCGCACTCACGACTTCACAGCCGCCATGCTAAGTATTTGAATTTTCTTTGATATTCCTATACCGCAGAAACAACCTTTGGTCGAATTTTTCTCATTCTATACATCTGTAAATATAAAATAAATACTTTTAATTAGTTAAAAATGCCCGCCATTTTATGAACATTACATGGTTTTAAATTAAAATAATTGTCATTTACGATATCGAATTTAATAAATAAATATGTATATCATACATATATTATATTAATATACATTTATTACGTTAGCTATGTATTTTTTATGCCAAACATATTATAATAAGTATGATTATGACAGATTTCTGTTTTCATTTTTCAAAATAATTTTTCCCCTTCAATATCCCCTAACGTAATTTTTGCTCTCAGTATGGGGTTGGTCTGATTTGACCCTTTTGTTTTCGACGGTTATATTACCAGCTCATATAATATATAAAATATATACAATATATATATATATACTTGTATTTATTATGGCTATAACAATGGTCAAAATAATAAACCCACATCACAACATGAATTTCATTTAATTTTTATTTAACGAAGTCCTACGTAAGCTCGGGCGAAATCATTGAAACCTAGCGGTTTCTTCTATTGTTCTGTGTCCACGTCATCATCATCATAATAATAAAGAGTTCCATATATCGCAACAAAACATACAGTAAACCTAACTTTTATACCGGATGTATAACAATGCGTAATTATTCATTTTTATCACTGGGCTTCACATTATACTTTACCAACCCTTACAAACTATATAGTTGGTAATTTTGGTTGAGGGTAAGATTGTCAGCTTTTAATTTTCGAAAGTATACAATTATCCTTATATAAGTATATTTAATATTATATATACATATACAATGCGGAGGTGTAAGTCACCGGGAGTGGTAATACTTTATGCGTGCATTTTTATTAACTTTAAGCTTCAGCCAACCATAATTTTATCGTTATAATAACATTTCGGTAAATGTTTAAGCCACGTTCGTTTTATATTATTAATAATAATTACAAAATAGAGTTAAAATATTTTAATGCAGTTTTAATAATAAATATACAGGTACTATATTAATTTTGAATTAAAACCTTTAATAAAACCTAACTAAGATAATATTATTACCGTGGTTACATTTTTTTGTAAGCTCGTACTATCTTCAAAGGATCGATCATGTCTAGGTGTGTTATAATATTTTAGCGGATGTATGGCAGGGTTTTTAAACCATGGCATTTTCCGGTCTTTTTAAAACTGTCTACGCTTAATTTAGTCTCGATTACGATCGCATTACGTTAATTGAATTATAATGTTATCGTCGTGTATACAGTATGTGTCACGGCGTTTAGACGCAGGTTCCAAACACACCCCCCCCCAGCCTCAGTCGGCTTATATTAATATTCACGACATAATATTATATTATCACGGCGACCATGATGTGGCAAGGAACAGCGGCATCGGGTTGCACGAATGACGGATTGCCGGGGCAACTTTTCTTTTGCGTTTGAAAAGTTTTTGCATAACCGTCGCTCGAGGGGTGCCTAAGGTGACTGATGCGCTTGTTTTGGTGAAAATGTAAATATTCAAAGTTTCGGTTGGCTTTAAGTTACCGAAATACTTAAGTCCCGTCTTCCTGTCAACCCGACCTTCTGAAAACGCATAGGTACATACACTACACATACTCGGTATATGTAAACTCGCACATAATCTAGTAATTTATGAATGGAGAAAGACTGAAAATGGCATGTCACGCAGTCCACGCACGCGTGTCAACGAATATGTATAATAGGGCTAATTAAAACGGTTGAATGATCGTTAACACATTACACAGTGCACATCATAATATATTGTACAGGTAGTACCTGCACACAATATGCATTTTGATTGGTTAACCTACGAAGTGCGTATAATATAATATATATTTTCATCGGAAACAAGCGTAATAATATTATTGAGTAGTAATCAACCGTTTATCAAAAATAATTCACCCAATAAAAATTAATCAGACTCTATTATATTATTATGTATTTCGTATAATATGTGTATTGTGCATTAAGTATTAAATTATTATTATTATACGCAATACGTATAATACTGCTCCTTCATAAGCAGAACATTGAAAAACGTGTACTTAATTGCATAATAAAGTCAGTCTATTGTGGGTACCTGCACTTTAAATAATGCATTCAACACATGAATACATACTTACTCATTTAAGACTAAAATATTTTCCTTTCTTTTGTGCATATATAGTAAAATCTCGTTAAATCTGACGCACGCCGAGTACCTACTCTTCACGTATCACTGTAGTTGGGCCAACGACAATTTTTTATTGCTGAAATGGCTATATTTCAAACGAACACTATATTAAACTCTAACAATGCGATGACCAATATTTATTTTATTTAAAAAATATGTATTGCATAGTATTTGTAATGTTGTTTAGTTTACAGACATAATTATTTAGAATTTGACAAACAAAAATTCAACAACGTAAAATATTAGTTTGAAAGTTTTCTTGTTTATTATACCTACGCACTATATACGTGGTACAAACCTATAATAATAACAACCAATCAATCAATCTTACTACCACAAGTCATAATGAAATAAATACGTCAGTCTTATTATTGTCTGTCACTGGGTGTTATTTTAATTTTTATAACCATAATTTTCATTTGTATAGCTTAAGTTTGATAAATGAAGCATATTTATTGATCGCTGCAGGGTTATATGACAGCGTAAACACAAACCCTGTTCACAACAATACACGGCCCATTGTTTTTACAGTAGGTACGGTAAATTAATATTTTAAAAAATGTAATTGTATTAAAAATATGAACGTCGATATTTTAAAGCTCGAACTCGAAAAGGACCGTTCATCAAACTGTTTATTTTTAGTGAGCTGAACGACACTCGATTGAGTTTTATAGTATATTATTATCTACATCTTTTTAATTCTTTTCAGTCGTTTTACCCTCTTCGGCGATACTTAAGTCCATATAATATATGGCATAGATGTATATGCATATAAAAATGCGATTAAACCAGAATTCAATTTCGCGCCCGTCGGATGCAGACACGCTTCCAATACATTTTTATCCCATCGGTAACGCCACGCGAGTATATTATATTCCCGTGCATTGCGTCAAGCTTAGTTTATAAGCCCTCGGATCGAGCGAGTTAGTTCAAGAGAATGGGATGAAAATCAAGTAGGGGGAAATAAAGAACAATTTCCCACCTAGAATTGAGAAATGAATTTCGTATGCAAACTGGGTAAAGGCGAATAGGAAGCGCGACTTGGTTCCGGAATCGGGAAGGCTCTTGTTTGGGAGAGACACGGCGGGGGAGAAAGCATCTAGACCAAGACAAATAAAAAGGAGAGAAAAAGTCGTGTCCCTCTCATGGGAATGCAAAGCTTTGTTGTGCAAAGGAGAAAAAATATACAAGGCGAAGGTATTACAAATCTGGTTATAAAGTTGGCCGAGCACGAAAATAATCCAATCAAGCATAAGTCTGATTTTACGAGCGGACTGTACATAATAATACATCATTCAAAAACAACAAAAACCGTTTTAATAACATTTATTAATATATACGATATAATACTCTTAATTAATTTCTCAATATAAATTTGAAATTATTTTTTATTTTTCATTTTCGATGACAAAAATAACTTTACTTCGCCGAGTAAGTTTTATTGAATCACTTTCAAACGATCACATTTTATTTCACGCTTTCCGTAAAGATATTATATTATATATACGTTTTCGTCGAAGTATATATTATATTGTGATGAAAATATTTATGACGTACGTTATGTGTGTATTCATAATATACATATTTACTTACGCATTATTATCATACGGTATTATGTTATTATATTTTGTAAGAAGCTGTGATAGAGAGAGATATTATTATAATATTATGGTTTCGGGAGCAAAATAACGTCGGCCGATGCTAATTTTTAGTCGCGATTTATTACCGCAAGGAAGTTTTGTCTTAATTGGTTTTTACTGCTCCACAAAATGTTCACTCGACCAAAAAGTTACACCACTCGTTCAGCGACCATGGTCCCTCAGTAATTATTCAAACGATGAAAATATGAATAACTTTATTACCAAAATTCACTCACGCTAAAAGTTTCCACAGTTATTTTAACAATGTTTTCCGATGTTTTCGGCAAACAGCTATGTAAGCAAGTGCAGTACAGTCGGTGTTAGTGTGGCCGTTTTTAGGTTGCTCACAAATTTATGATGTCCGAGTAAAAACATACCAAACAAATAATAAAACACGTAATTTATTATATTTTTAATTTTATATATTCAAAATCCTCGAATTGGGCTGTAGTAGGGGTTGATAATTAAAATTCCGGTTAGATAATCTTAGGCTTCTAGATTTGGTTTCAAAACCATTCACCATTTGCTACAATTGATGATTTGGGTCGAAAGGAGGCCACATTACCACATTCATTGTGCCACTATTCGCGTTTCTGTCGTTTATTTATAGAGGCCAAAGATACTTTGGATTAACATTGGAAAGATCTAACAACCGTTGTACCATTGCCTCTAGATATTTACGGTCGTCGTTTACTATCAAGCGTTTCAATGTTATATAACAAAATGTAAAATACATCTTATATCTATTGAAAACCTCAAAGTCGATTCGTTTCGGAAATGACTTTCAAATTTCTGTGTCTTGTGAAGTTAATTATTTACAACTACCTGAGGATATTAAATTAAATGTATAAAATTATAAAAACAAAATTAAGTATAGTGCTAGCACACCTATAGTAGATTTAATTTATTGAATAATATTCATATAATTGTATTTTATTATTAAGTACCTACCTATGGCATGATAGAAATGTATTAATAATTAATATATCATATTATAAGTTATAAATTATTAAAAATTATACATTTATTACTCTTTATAAAAAATTTAATCGATAACTTATTAATGTGCAAATATTGATCTGCGATATTTT